CTCGGAATGTCTGCATACCAACAGCTGGACGGGCAGAGCAGTCAGCAGTCAACAGTCAACACACTGGAGACTGGACGCAGTGCAGCGTTCTTCAGCAACGGCCAGCCTACAGAAGTAGAAGTAGGCTTCTGTGAATTTTTTACAGCTCGACTAGCACTTGGCATCGAATGGATTGTCTGAGCACAACGCACTGGGGACGGCACCACGGCACGGACGATGACCTGGGTGGCGGAGGGAGTCAATCAATGGAGGTTGACAGCTGTCGACAGCCGACCGGCCATGGGACCAATCGCTGCCAACTGCCACCCTCGTTCCGTAGAGAGGCAAGCAGCGGGGCGTAGCAGCATAAAGTCGCGCCTGACGAGCGAACGGCATGGAAACGAGCAGCTTTTGTTTATTCGTGTTGCGTTGTTGCGGCCAGCGTGTCTGCGTGACTCATCCACCCAAAAGCCAAAAATATAACACATTAGATCAGTACTGAAAAAACATAAACTCTGCAGCCAGCCCGAGCATCCTGGTTGGCTGGTTGATCAACAGCTGGACGATAATGTTATGGAAATACACAAAGCAACATGTGGGTATCTTGACTCTTGGCAGAATGTTTTCTGAAGTTGCCACGTTCTCAGAACTCGGTTGTCAAAAATGCCGTACAACTTCAAAGACGTCTTCCTGAGCTGAGCGGAGAGGAGCGTCGCCCTCTTCGAGCTGGCTCATCACTTGGTTTCTTTGCTTAATTGTTTCCTTAACAGATGACAAATGTTAACTCAAAACGACCACGATTGCTGTCGGTGTTAGCTACCATTCCATTGAAAACTTCAACTGCAAATCGTTCCAATCATCGAACCCGATCATCACAAAAAACACCATTCGCTAACCTCGTAGCACACTGCATGTGCTCTCAATAACAATATCAATAAAACGGAACAGTTGATTTTTCCCCATCCTCATGCAGCCAAATTTTAGACCTCAGGTTAAAAAAAATTGAAGAACTACGATTGTTGGTTTGCAGTCTAATGACGGAAAATTCTTCTAATCGAATTAATAAAAGCCATCAATTTTCCTCCCGGAGTATTACGCTGACTTTAATAACGTTGGTGAAAATTCTGAACTGCCCTGCTTTTGTGTCTCGTCTTTAAAACTGCACCTGAAGCAGCGAAATTACGCAACAGGTGATGCATCTGGTTTGGCATGTTTGTACAATTTATATTTATCCCCATCATTCTGATATTCAATGCTGACAGTACAACTGTAACTGCTACTAAAAGAAGGGCTGGAAGTGGTGCATGAGTCATCTTCGAAAGGTCTGGATGGTAGTTGCCCAACATTCTTGCTTGACATTTGTCCGTGACCAGAACCTCACAGAGTGTTCCATTTCTCTGCATTTTGTGATTTTTATGAAAATCCGGGGGAAGTCAGCAATAGTCTATGAAGGTTAGCCCTCTGAATTGACTGCAAAATAATTACTCACAAAAGTGCTCTAAAAACGAGAGATGATTGGAGGAGCACAGACCTGCATACGGGACTCGCCAACAAAGAGGACAAAGTTACGAGGGTAGAATCATACATTAAGGCCATTCTTAGCAGAATGCTAATGTGTATCAAAGTTTCGAAATTTTTTAGAGCTCGTTATTTTTATCAGATCGTAAGCCATCGGCATCTAGGAAGCTCTATCGCTTCCAGCTATGACCCAGCCTTCAAGAATCCCTTTCATCACCCGTTATGAAACATGGCTGGCTTGCGATGTGGACCACGTTATGATTCATCACTATTTCAAAGAGACCATACCTCGTTCACCTTCGCGTAATTTTGCAACTCATTAGACCTCATAGAACGATCTCCTCTTGCGAGAAGGTGAGAGTGGAGTATATCAACGACCAATGTTACGAGATTTACCGTCCTTAACTGAATTGTTTGAGCAGTATGACTTGCATTTCAGACCGTTTTCCTTTTGTCCAGTCTTACGGTAGAAGATAAGCATGGATCAGCGTATCGGTTAGTTTATAGCGTCTTCCATTTAAAGAAGAAAATCATGTTATTAAAAGGACATTTCAACTATGACTCCGGAGAGAATGATGGGGCCACCATCAGCAGTTATTTCCTAGGAGCCTAGTCTTTTTATAGCAATATGAAGAATCGACAAATCGCTTTTTGTTATTAGAAGATTACTGGGTGCATTCCATCGAACCTCGCCTCATCATGCAAAAAAGTGAGGGCTCAGCAAGCGAGCAATGCCATAACTCTGAGATATGGCGATTCGAATAAAAATAAAAATGAAATAAGTCGTTGGTAAGGGAAAGATTTTAAGAAAAGCAACTTTCTGCCGCCGCTCAGAGAAATAGGAAAACTGAAATAGCGAGTAAAAGGCATGAAACCCGGAATAGGAAGTCAATTCCATCGGAAGTACCAGCTTGGTAGATAATATAATAATACCTTTAATACCAAGGGTTCAAGGACAGTGCCGTCGCCTGCTCATATGGTGTTCTGGGCATTCGGCAACAGGGAGATAGTAAGGAGACTACTTCCAAATCAGCAAGTATTAAACAAAACAAATCACCAGTAAAAGCAGAGCTATATCAGGCTGACCAGAGTCTGGTCCAAAATGACAGTTTGTTTTCCATTTGATCGATTAGACATCGTATGGCGTGCCAAACGACTGAACTTCGGGAAGCTTCAATCCGGCACTGGCAATGAATGTCTCCATACGGGCCTTCTGCTTGGCCGTCTCGACAGGTAATGGTAGAAACATTGATTC